AAATAATCCTTTGCTAATTCTTTGACCCAAAATGAAAGCTGAGATTTAATAGTGCTTTTTCCCTCTTTAGGAAGTGTTTTAGACCACAGTTTGGAAAGCCTTATCCACCGCCTTCGTGGTTTATGTGACAACATGGAACCTGAAACTTTCCTTGACCATGAGATGGTATTCCTCCTGAAGGGCCAGCAGGCCAGCCCATTTGTCCTGAGGGCCCGGCGCTCTATGGATAGAGCAGGGGCACCCTGGCATCTGCGTTACCTGGGACAGCCAGAAATGGGAGACAAGAACCGATATGCTTTGGTGCGAAACTGTGTGGACATTGCCACATCTGAAAACCTCACAGATTTCTTGATGGAAATGGGCTTCCGCATGGACCATGAGTTTGTTGCCAAGGGACACTTGTTTCGTAAGGGCATTATGAAGATTATGGTATACAAGATTTTCCGCATCCTGGTGCCAGGGAACACAGACAGCACTGAAGCCTTGTCGCTCTCCTATCTTGTGGAATTAAGTGTTGTTGCACCAGCTGGGCAGGACGTGGTCTCTGATGACATGAGGAACTTTGCTGAGCAGCTGAAACCTCTGGTTCACCTGGAGAAAATAGACCCCAAAAGGCTCATGTGACTAARACAGTCTGTCCTCATATGTTAGAAAAAAGATGTTATAAATGCCCCAGTWTACCACTGCCAGCCAGGTGTTGCTCAGGAAGGACAGTGAGAATTTACTTGGTTCTTTGCCGTGTATTCCTCGTGAGGTTTCACATTCATGGCAGCCTTTTTATTTTTATTTTTAAAATTTTTTATTTTTTGGTACTTGGAACTGAACCTAGGGACGCTTAACCACTGAGCCACATTCTCAGCCCTTTTTTGTATTTTATTTAGAAACAGGGTCTCGCTGAGTTGCTTAGGGTCTCCCTAAGTTGCTGAGGCTGGCTTTGAACTTGGTATCTTCCTGCCTCAGCCTCCCAAACTGCTGGGATTACACGTGTGTGTCACCACACCCAGCCATGGCAGCCTTTTTAAATTAAAGGMTCAGGATAACACAGAATATGTCTAATCCCTCTGCATAAAGAAGGGAAACTGGGACAAATTAGCTTTGGAAAGAAAAGTCTCTTAATTATTATGTATAAGGTTTGTAACAGAGCCTGTGAGCTTGTGTTGAATAGTAATAAAAGCTGTTTAAAAATGTCTATAATTCTGCTTCTTTGGTCTCTTATTTTATACCCTCAGGGGAGATTCATTAGCAGTTGAAGCAACAATAAGGGTAATTCTTAGTTTTAATTTTTTGTTTGTTTGTGGTGCTCAAGATTAAACCCTGGGCCTCAAGCATGCTTGGCAGGTACTTTATCACTGAGCTATACCTCTAGTCCCTTAGTTTTAATTTTATGAAAATGGTAGTTCTCACTTATCATAAAGTGGCACATTTGTTGATGAGACATTTTAAAGTACAAAATAGTAAAAATAATATCTAAGGAAATACACTAATTCTATTTTGGTATATAGCTTTCTAGTCTTTAGTTTTTATAAATTTATGTACATACATATATATACACATATATATTTGTTTTGGTTTTGGGTGGGGGTACTGGGGATTGAACCCACTGAGCCACATCCCCAGGCCTATTTTGTATTTTATTTAGAGACAGGGTCTCACTGAGTTGCTTAGTGCCTGTTTGCTGAAGCTGGCTTTGAACTCAAGATTCTCCTGCCTCAGCCTCCCAGCTGCTGGGATTACAGGTGTGCACCACTGTGCCCAGTTATATATTTGTTTTTATAAAAACATTTCATACATATTGGGTTTCTGTTTATTTCCCAGGATATTAATCTATAGTGTTCTTTTGTAAATGTAAAAAAAAAAAAAA